AAATCAGCAGGCGAAATTCAGATTCTGCAGGCCCATTTGCAGTGCCTGATCATCTTCGGCAAGATGTAGAAGAGTTTGAAGCTCTCTATGATCAGCACAGTAACGAATATGTTGTCCGCAATAAGAAGTTGTGGGACATTAACCCGAAACAAAAATGTTCAACTCTATATGAGTAAGTAGGTTAAAATTCCTGCAGTTGTTATTGCGTACTGAAGCTGCCAATTAAAGATCAGAAGTTGTTTACTTTGTGTCTGTTACATTTTATTAAAGGACTCATTTATTGGTTCTCATCTTCTGGGGAAGAACATTTTTAAAGATTTTGTCAGATATTACGCAAAGTTAATTTGAGGATTATTAATTATTTAGAGTCCTAATGATTATTGGTTTTGTCAGTTTGAGCTGCTAATGTAGATACTTTTGACTTCTAAAACTGTTTTAGTATTTCCTGGTAGCACTGATAAAATTTCCAGCCATAATTTTTTTATCACAAATTCTAAGGTATTCATTTAACAAATAATTTGATCTTATTGTCCTTACGTTGTTGGATACAATTTTGGCATCTCATAATTGCAGTGACAAGTTAGGTGGCTTGGTGAAGTATTATCCTTTCACTGGGAAAAGGATATTATGGTGCTGTTATTTCTGCTTGGATAGTAGTTGTTCAACTGGGATAATAGTACAGACATAAAACCCTACACCCCTGTATTATATTAGAGACTCAACTTCCTGTCATCGATCCAATGAAGGAGAAACATACTTTTCTTTTTAAGGAACTCTGGGTGTGAATTACTTTTGGATTGAAAATGTGAATGTAAAATTTAACAGATTGAATTTGAGTAGGGTGGAAAAAACAATCAAAGAATTCAAGAAAATCTAGGAAACAGCTTACCATTTTGAGTTTGGCATTAATAAATAGTGCATGAGGCCTTCCTTAAGAAAAGAAATTCAGGGCTAAGATCTGTAATAGAAAATTAATTTAAAAGCTAACTATTCTGAAAATCCTGTCACTCATCCATAATGTGGTCATTTCTTCTATTTCCCTCAGTTACATCATTTCTGTTTAGTCTCGTTATATGCTCTTAGGTCCCTCTTCATAGTTTTTCTTTAGAGTTGCCTTGCTGAGAAATCATAATCGCAGAGAACTGCATGACAGTGTGGAAACAGCTGTAAAATTATACTGCTGTTTCTTATGCTAGAATTTGTTTCAGGCACACCAAACTGAACCTAAAGTGTGAATTTTCAGTACCTTGTCTCTTAAAGAATTTATTGCCATTATAAGCAAACAATTTTATGAGGGGAATAAATAGACTGATTTGCTTTTATTTTGAGATAGAATTTTTCTCTTATAATAAACTAAGAAAGTACAGTGCATTGCATTTCAAAATACAATTCTTTGAATTTTCAAAAGTAAAAACATGGTAGCTTAAGAATGATGATTTGTTTTATTGGCCAATCGATGAAAGAAATGAAAATGAAACTATTGCATATGAAAAGAATGTAGAATAGAAAAATATTGGACAAGGAGTCAATAATACTGGGATAACTGCAATGAATTAACCTTTTCTTGACTTTAGTATTTCACCTTAAAATAGGGAATTGGACTAATTTATTTTTAATGGCCCCTTCTAGTTTTAACATTTTAGGATTTAGATAATCGAATCAAATTATTCCGCATTTAATTTTTCTTAACATCACTGTAGTGGTATTAGTCGATCAAGATTTATTGACCACATAAGATTAGGCCCTGTTGCAGATTCCAGAAAAAGTAGAAGGTGTAGACATGTCATGCAACCTGCAGCATAGCAAGAGAGCTGAGATGATCATTGGTATGATTACAGAATATTGCAAATAAAAATGACATTCCAAAATAAGAATCATGAGCATGTACAAAACAGTGATTTTCAGAGGGGCATTCCTAGATAGTAGGATGGGAGTACTTTTTGAAATGTTTTTCCACTCCTGTCCTTTCTCCTGTGCCGACAGTGACATGCACTGATATTCTAAAAGTTTATCTGTGACTGTTAAGACACAAATGGTCATCATCAAATGTTGAAAATGTTATATATACACATAGAAATATGTACATATATACATAACAGCTATTAATATCTCTGGTATAATTAGCTTTATTAATTTTTTTTATTCCTGTCACGTACAGTGTGCTCAATTTTTTGCCTCTGGTTCTTAAGTATAGGAATACAAGCCATATTAGAGTCTAAGACTTTGAAGGGGCCAGATGAGAGAGGAGATTAATTTCATAACTGGGCCAAAACTGAAATGATCACGTAAGCCTCACCATCTTAGTTGTGTCTAGCATCTTTTGTTATAGCCTTAGAGTCTTTCATATCTACTAAACAGCCACACCAGCACCAGGGTTCAGAGTGTTGATGGGCTGATTCTAACCCCCGTAAAACACTAGATTATGAAGAAATTGTATTTATGCTATTTTGGATCCAATGTTTATCTTACTGAGCCTACTTTTCAAAGCATAGAAGAGTCTAAATAGAGTTAAAAAGTTCATTTTGTGTTGCATTTCAAGTAATAGTAGCTATAAAAATATAATTCACAGTGTGGTTATAGTACCATTTCTCTTTGGGCTAGGGACTTTTGTTGAGTTAAACTTTATTCTGCTTGAATATATGAAAAATTTGTTGCTACTTAAGCCAGTGGACAAAAAT